AGTTAATTGAAGCATTATAGCACAGGCCTTTGTCAGATTCTATATTACGCTGTTTTTTTCCTGCTTCGAATAGTTCTCTCTTTTTTCACCATACCTGTGTTTGCATCACTGACTCTTGAATTGTATTTATCTACAGTAAGAGAAAATGTGCTTAACATGAATTGCCACAAATTCTCTTAAAGGGGACCTATCATGCAAAATGCACTTTTGTACGTCTTTTTGAATATGTGTCCACGGTGTGTCAGGGAGCTCACCAAGTGTCAGAAAACACAACCCTCTCTCTTTTCCTCCATACCCAAATCTCTAAAAACGTGCTGCAACGGATCTGATACAGACTGATACAGATTTGAAAATTCTCTGACGTCAGAAACGAGGAGGCTCCGCCTATATGGGCAACTCTCCACCTATCAGGAGGAGACAGCAGAGTCCTGCACGGGTCTGATTTTCAAGACCCGCTCCCGCCCCGCACCCGCGACGTGCAATACCGAACCCGCNTATGACATGTGTGACAACTACTCTTCAGTGATGCAAATTAGTCGCTTTTCCACGAATTACACAAGTCACCCAAAGCAGCGTTAAAAAAGCGGGAGGCGCCGAAAAGCGACTAATTTGCATCACTGAAGAGTAGTTGTCACACATGTCATAAACAGATCTCCAGAGACGAAAAAAACAATGATGATTTAATGTCCTCGTGAAAAGTGCTGTTTAACGGGCAAAATCTGAGCAATTCACGACAAATTTGTGCAGTTAAGAGTTTTACGAATGAGACTTAAAAAAAAAAAAGTAAGCATTGTTTAGGGTGAGATTATGAAAATGTCCCTGTCTGAGGCGTATTGAGCGTAGGAGTGATTTAGCACTTACACGCCATGTCTTTGAGCTGGTCCACTGTGAGGAGGGCAGGAGGATCACAGTTTTGCAGGAAGTAGAGGATCAGCAGAGTCAGGGCGTAGTTGTTGAGAAGAGGACCGGCACCACTGGGATTTCCTAAAGGACACAATGTAACCAGTGATAAAGGAAAGGCTGAAACACACGGAAGTTTGAAGGGCATGTTTGTGAAGCCAGATGTAAACATAGAACTTGTTGTGTATGTATGAGCAATAAGTATAATGTATTTGGTTTTGACATATGATGAATTTCTTTTTGGGTAAAAATGTTGATGACAACAGCAGCCTAACATGCAACTGATCCCATCATGCTTTGCTAATCACTCTGCACAAGTGCCTTGTTGGTTCATCTGAGGGAATACAGATGATATGCCCCAGGTGTAGAGGTAATTAGTGGGCTCTTTAGTGAAGAACACTTTTATTAAGATTGAGTTCTATATCAGGGGACAGCCTGTAGTTATACAACCCAAATGAAGATGTACTCGTGCCATTTCTTTAAACCACATAACAAGGCACTCAAAGGTATTACAAATCAGGGCATTCAGAGTGGAGTTATACTGACATCTGCTGGCCAAAATATGGAATTACTACTTAAATGTATAGAACACACAAATGTTGCACTAAGGTTTAAAGAGGCCCTATTTTCCCGTTTGGGGTTTTCCCTTCCCTGTAGTGTTGTATATAGGTTGTGTGCATGTAAATGGTCAGCAAAGGCTACAATCCCACAGTTCCCTCCAGAGGGAGTTTCTGGCTGGCTCCATTGGCCTCCTTTGTTCACTTTGCCGACATAGTGACATCACTGCCCAACACTCATGCTCCAACACATTGTACGTGATATGCTTAGGGGCGGGACATCTCTAAGCGGTTGACAGAGCCGACCAGCTAACCAATCAGAGCAGACTGGGCTCTGGTGTCAGACAGAGGGTGAAAAGAGGTGCTGCAGCACAGGCAGTATGAGAAAAATAAAGAGCTTTTTGAACCAGTACCAAACACAGGTATGGTGAAAAAAGAGAGAACTATTCGAAGCAGGAAAAAAACAGCGTAATATACCATCCGACAAAGGCCTGTGCTATAATGCTTCAATTAACTGGCTATTCTTTATAATTTACTCTGATCAATAGGAGACAGAGATGTTAAGTTATAAATCAAGGGTTTTTATTATTATTTACAGCAGGGGTGGGGAACCTTTTTCCTTTCAATTTTTACAACATCCTCCGAGGGCCGTACAAATTATTGAACTCAACCTCTGCTTAAAAAAACTAAAATCACAGCCAATTCATTTCGCCTTTCTTTCATGCTGCAAAGAAAAAGCAACCTCTTAATCCAGATATCTTGCCATGACTCGCGCATGCATGCACAGTGTGGCATGACCA